ACACCCACACACACACAGAAAGCTGTGGAGCTAGGAGGGTAATGTGCAGCCGAGAACATACCATTAGAGATGGCGGTACCCAACAGCTTTCCGGTAGGGGCACACTGGAAATTTGGCACCGGTACCGGTAGGGGCGTATTGAACATATTTCAGGCCCAAACGACGCCAGGTTTTTTTTGGAAACTTCAATCGTTGTCAGAGGGGAAAATCAGGGTAAGTCGGCGTCGGAGGGGCAAAATGCAAATAAGCGCAAACTTCAGAAGCATTTCGAAAATTTTCTCAAAAATGAAAAGCTAAAAAGAAAGAAAAACAGGGTTTCTTAAATTGTTTTTATCTTAAAAAAGAAAAACAAAATCAGCAGGGGGTTTCAGGATATGTATCCCGCACCCCTATAATTTTTTATTTTTTTTTTATGTCCTTGTTTTGGTTTTCTTTTTTTTTTTTCTTTTTTTAAAACTATATTCTTCTCTCAATTTCACCTCACACTACGTACCTACCACTACTCCTACTTGTAGGCATACGGGGAACCCCGTAGCAGCCAGAACCATGTTCACGAGAGAACATGCGGGGGCTGCTCCCGACCTGCAGGTGGGCGATAACGGCCAGGGGACAGCCGGTAGCATCAGGGGATAAAGCCCAGGGGACCAATCTCCTGTGCCTCCCCTAGGTCCCCTCCCCTACGAACATCAGCAGACTCTGCTATGCCAATCGGGGGATCCAGTGGTCTATCTCTTGGGTAGCGGGTGCCAAGTATGCCCAGGAAGGTACATGAGGCCAATGTGGATTGAACCCATGACCTCCTGAATGCCGCTTGTGAACCTTACCAACTGAGCTAGGCCGCTGGATGTTTTGGTTTTCTTAATAAACAATCAACCAATCAATCTTTTCTTTTTCTTTTTTCTTTTTTCTTTTTTTGAATAAATTTCACCCGTCACGCGTGGCAACAGTTGAGTGATGGTAAAAAAGCATACACTCCTACCTGTCTTGCAGGGGGCTCCAGTCCGTTGGCGGGGAGGTACACCTGCTGGAAAGCAGGTCCAGCGTCCCCTGAAATACAAAGACACATGATAGAACAGCAATTGTTGGGAACCCAGTGTCCCTGAGGCTCCTGATCCTAAACATACAAACTGCTGCAAAAGGATGATAAATTTGAAACTATCAATCAATCTATCAATCTATCAATCAATCAATCAATCAATCAAACAATCTATCAATCTATCAATCAATCAATCAATCAATCAATCAATCAATCAATCAATCAATGATCACTCAAATCACTCACTCACTCACTCACTCACTCA